GCAATTTCACGCCCTGCTATGGCCAAAATTAAATTATGTAATTATAACAGGTTGTGTTCAAAAATGAGTCTATTCACAAATGTGTTCATGAAACGTTCTGTGTTAATCTTTAGGCGGAGGCAAACCTTGCGACGTAAATTATATTGCTAGGGTTTAGGCTTCGGCAGAATTTTATTTAACGGATGATGGCTTAGGGCCCTAGCTCCACTAAATAATTTCTTATCCTGCATATGCATTTCTTATCCTGCATATTCAAAGCTGAAGTTTGAGTGTTAGCTCTTTGAATTTACTCTGACGAAGGGCTGACGTTTGAAACAGTGGCAAATTTACATTATCAACTCAGCTGATAATACTGAGATACCTTGGTATACCCCCCACTGACACAGCACCACAGTTTCTTTAGAAATTCACCCCCATAATTCAATAAATTAGATTGTTTGTGTCATATTATAGATACCAAGACTCTTATTACACACCTAAAAATTCATCACGGTCAATATGTCCATTTCTGTCTTTATCAAAAGCCACAAACAGCCTTTCTGCCAGAACTCCATCCAATGGGAAATAGTGCATGCTATGGACATAAAAAATATCAAGTTGTTCTACATGCATACTATCTATTTTCCACATTCCCACTTGATGATGAAGAATTTATATAATGCATTCTCTACATCAAATATGCTTTAGTGTACTTAAAAATACTTTTAGAGAACTTTGGCCAGACTGCATAAAGCAGTCTACACTCCTCAGTGAAACATATATAGTGGCGCCAAAGAAATAAACCCTGGCTCACAAATGTAACAAGATGAGGATCAATATCAGTATCTGGGAAACTGCCCACCTACCCCTCCCCTGACCCAACATTAACCCTAACTTGTTATCAATTGACTATTGTAGAGTTAGGGGAGGGGTAGGTGGGCAGTTGCCCAGTTACTGATATTGATCCCAAGATGTTACAAATATTACATGAAGGTTAAATATCATAATACTCACAATGTTTTCTTATCAATTTGTTTGTCCCTGGGAGACAGAGCTGCTAAGTTTTGGTAAACATGGACCATGCTTTGAACTTCACTATCTGAAACTGAAAAAAAAAAAATTTAGAAGTCACAGGAGTGTTAGAAATTTAGCTTAGGATTGAATAACCAATACAACTTGTCTAGAGTGATAGTTTTCAAAGTTTACAAGTGACTGGAAAAAGTTACATGACTGATAGAGAGATATACCTGGGTAAACCACACAGCATTTTTTTTTTCAAAAAAAATGAAACCTATACTTATAGTCATAATACATGGATTTCCAAACAACTACTATCAACCCTTTAACTCCCATGAGTGACCAAGACAGAATTTCTCCTAGTCAACATCAATACAATCTCAAGAAGACCAGTGATGAGAATATAGAAAAATATCCTTCAACATACTTTTAGTTGATCCAATACTAAATTCTCCAAACTAACATTATAATTGTTCGACAAACAGTAGGGAGATTTATTAATGAGATCTAAGGAGTAAATACGTGAATTACTCTTATAAAATTTCCAACTCTGAATATTGCATTTCTACTATTCTGATACTATTCTCTCAACTCCACTTATCAGCTCATGTTGCAAGTCACCTAATATGAAAATGCTTAAAGCCAACTCTTGTGGAGCTGAAAAGAGGCTTCAAATATCCAAATTTTCAGGATTTAATGAAATTTAATAAATTAATTATTCCATTTACCCTTGTTGGATATGATACACTACATGCCTCATTGGCTATTTACATGTGCCATCTCATGTCCAATGTATGCTCATAGAAGATCCTTAAATATTCATTGCATGTTGTTTCTTTCATTTTACTCAAATAGTTTGTGGGGCACATTTGATCTCATCCGCATGATACTTTGTGCCATAGAAATATGAAATATTGTTATTATTTTATTTCACTGAATCCTCCAACCCTTCACACATATGGGGGAAAATTCAAGAATTTTGAGACTTCTGTCCCTCCTTCATCTCAACTCAGAAAAGTCAATTACAAGTGCATCATATCTTGATATTTAGTCGACCAACGTCGTTGAAATATAGAACCGATATTGTTATATAGTGTACAGTCATAAATAATAGAAAAAAAACTGTAAATATTGTTTGGATATCAACTGATTAATGTTCTCAAATAAAACATAAACATTCAACGCATTCATTAAAATAACAAACAAACACTTCAAGTGAATTTTCTATCATTAACAGCTTATTGATACAGTCCCTTTTGAGTCATTCGCACCTGAAGTTAGCCAAATTTTGTACCTACTGCAATTTGCTCCTGATTGGCATAAAACTAACTTACAAAAGTCGACTGAAAAACTGAGAGAAAGAAGAGGCAGAGAAATTAATTCAATCTGGGAACGTGACGAAGAAAGTTATCACGTACAACATAACATATGAAATAAGCGATATATATATGTTGAACTCACGTACATCTATTCAAAGGACCCTTTTGGTACAAATGCTTTGGTAATGGAGGTTGAATTGTAGACTTGTTTAAAACCACGAGGTCATCTTCAGGCTGCACCTGTTTGTTAAACTCTTGCCCCATGGTTTACGAAACCTTCCATAATTGTCGACTCATCGTCTCATCTGGGCAGGTGAATGAGTGCTTTCATCGTTAAATGCGAGTTGTGAAAAAATTAGAGCTTCAAATTGCGGCACACTTATCGACGATCTCTCCTTAGTAGGAAATTCTCAAAGCTGATAAAACCATTGTGTTTCATCCATCTTATAACTGGTGATGATATTTTAAAAAGATCTTCCGCAAGAAAAGCTTCTTTACCTCAAGTGCGGTGTCAAAACCGATCCTGATGTCAGTTAAAGTTTTACATTCATCAGAATCCCTCAAAACAACGTGGAAACTCAAACCATAGAAGATGAAACTTCGCAGTTTTCCTTCTATATCTTCTTTTATCTGAGAAGATCACCTGTTTCAGGGAGGGCTTTGAGACTGAAATGCAGCTGAATAAAATCTGTAACCGGCTTACAGTGTGCAAGGAAACCGTCAAAATATAAACACGCGTGCCTTTTCACGGTGGAAGACTGGATCGGATGCTATCCTCCACTTCCGATCACGTGATATTTCCTTTTCAGGCTTCTCTCTTGCAAGTTTGTTAAAAAAAACCATAGAAATGAACTTTCGAAAAAAAGTGAAAAAATTAAATTGATACTGTCTGGTTGGTACCATAAAAATGATCGGTCTGGAGTTGTGCAAATTGATATTTTGAAGAACAACAGCGTTTAAATAAATCGCTCGAGGGATCTGGGAAAATTGGACCAGAATTACTGAGAGCAAGGCGTTCGCCCCAAAAACTGAATTGGGAGAAGGATTTTGATTATGTGGGAATCAAAGAAATCTTTCTGTTTTTTTTTTTTTTCAGAAACACAACATCCCTCTCATTCCGGAGGAGGAAGTATATCCGATATAGGAGTCTGGGAACCAATTTTGATCATATGATACTCACCGGATTAACTGGTGACAGCGCGGGAGAGATAACATAATAAGGTTCATGTGGTGGCCAGATGGCTACATAGAGCTCATTGTTACGTTGGACAAAAAATTCATCACATTTTCTGTTCTTCACCTGCTCCTTGCCGAGATGTCTTCCCTTTTCAGATCGGAGGAAATGACATTGGCTCAACTTTTTCTTCAAGCTGAAGCAGCTTACACTTGCGTGAGCGAACTTGGAGAGTTGGTACGAAACTAAGTGAAACTCTCAATCCGATAGATTTAGTGTAGTCTAGTTATTTATTTTAATGTACCTCTACTGTTTTCTTTGATAAAATATACTGAGCTATGCCATTCGTTTTCTTCCTTAGGGCCTAGCACAGTTTCGAGATGTAAGTACAAAATGACAGAGTTCAGCTGCATTCGATTTGTATTGACACGTTTAAAACTTATACGAGAGATCAACAGAAAATTACTTTTCAATGTCTTTTTCTCGCCAGTTAAATCCAGACGTGAACGCTTTTCAGCGTAAGTTCGTTAATGAGGTGAGACGATGCGAGGAGATGGAAAGAAAACTTCGTAAGTGGACAGGGGAGATTTTAGATTTGTCCTAATTTGGTCCTATTTACTCTTATCGTTAGCTTAATAAAGTTGGCATAATTTTCATTGTAGGATTCTTATACAAGGAAATTGAAAAAGCAGATATACATGTATCAGAAGCCATAGAATATCCAGAAACTCCTCAATTACGAGAGATGATTGATCTTGAGGTTGGTAGAAATTAGTAAGATTTTTATTGAAATACAAAACACACAAGGTATTCCTCCCTCTTCTCATCTCTTAACACTTTAACTCTCAGAAATGAGCAACAGATAACTTCTCCCTACAAAATCCATGCACTATCCAGCAAACAGGTCACGAGAATACTAAAAATGTATCAGGTAGAAGTTGTTATCTTGATCTAACACTAAGTTCTCACAACACAGTTATCTTTAAGGAAATGTGCATGCAGCAGCTAGAGGGGAGAATTAACAATCAGATCTTGGGAGTTATTCATTTCTAACACTCATTTATTCATTCTCCCATTTACTTTCTCTTTTTTTCTTTCTTTAGGCCCAATTTGAGCAGCTTGAAAATGAAATGAAAGACAGCAACACAACTTATGAGACACTTATGAAGAACTCTTTGGCACTGACAGAATTCAAACACATTTTACAAAAAACTCAAACCTTCTTTGAAGAGGTAATCAAACATATCTGTACTTGAAAAAGCTCCATTTTACTACAGTATATCCACTAATTCGTTGCTAATTAATGGAAATAATGTAGAAAAATGTTTAAACTGAAATGGAAATGGTGTATCCCTAATTATAGGCTGGATGGATTTGCATGAGTCTGTTCTTGGTCTCTTAATACAGAAAAAGGAGTGTCTTTACCACCCTTGGATGGGATATGCTCCTTTGTCTTTTTACCATGAGAGCAAGAAAGTGTCATGCCCATAGCCATGACAGTCTGTGACTCTTTCAGGGCTTCATCAGTGCATGACCTTTTAATCCTGAGTCAGTGCACAAATGTGCTATAATTGGGATAACCACTCAAAAATCACAGCAAAATTGTTTTGCGATTGAAAGAAGGAGGTTTTTATCTTGTCTCACTATGGATCAAAAGCAAAAATTCCAGGGCCTCAGGAGGAATCATTTTAACCTCCAACCCTCAGATTCTGTACATCACTGCTCCACTGTTGGGGTATTGAAAACTCCGTGGTGAGCTGGGCCATAAGTAGGTTCTTATGTGACAAGTGTCCTTTATATTGTGGGGATCGGCGATGTTAAAAGCTTAGTGTGAGTTGATAAAAGCTGTGTCCCTGATCATCAAAGAGTTTCTTGGTTAATGCTTGTGAGCATGCATACATGAGAGCACTAATTAAATCTGAGGGTCTTTGGTTCTGCATCTCTGATAAGGAAAGTAGAATTTTCCTTCATTTCTCAGTCATCAAGACAAGACAAAATGCATAATTCCTGGCTTATTTCATTACAGAGCTCAAAATTAACCATCTTTCTCAAATCATTTATACACAATTTGCAAATTGCATTTTATTTTCATTCTAAGGCTGTCTTAGAGGGAAATCAACAACTAATGCATGAATCACAGAGGAGTGATTTACAGGCACTCACAGAAGATGACGCAATGGATGAAATGGGAAAAGAAACTCAACTGGGGTGTGTTTACTAGTTTATTTATAAGTATTTTATACAAATATATTCACCATGGTAGATGTTTTTGTTACATTCTGCAAAATTGATAAATAAACCAAGAATAGGCTGACATCTTTTTTCAGCTCTTTTAGTGTGCAAACAAAACAAGTCTAATTTATCCTTTATTGTATTTTAATACCTGTAAATTAATAATTAAGAGATACCTTGAGAAGATCAAATTCCCATTCATGCATGAACTTATTGGGAACAAGACATTCCAGTTGTAAATAATACATTCAAGTGTTTTGTATTTTATCATGTTTTGTGCTCATAATATAATAAAAAAATACCTTGGGAAGTTTTATTACCTCGCTATCCATTTAAACTTAGGGTATATACATGACATTCCTCGGCCAATGCAACAATAAGAATTTTGGTTTGTGATGGAACTTAAGAGAGATAATCTTACATTTGAGCTCTAACATATTTTGCTCACAACATTTACATTTTGGTGCTCGTGAACAAAATTATTGTCTTCCTTTGTAGTTTTGTCACTGGAGTCATAGTGCGTGAGCAAATGCCTTCATTTGAACGTCTTTTGTGGCGTGCCTGTCGAGGGAATGTGTTGTTAAAACAGGCAGAAATAGAGACTCCTTTGGAAGATCCAAGCACTGGAGACCAAGTCAACAAGTGTGTCTTTATTATATTTTTTCAAGGAGATCAGCTCAAAAGCAGGGTGATGAAAATTTGTGAGGGGTGAGAATGTGTTTTGTTATCTAACTATTGTTGTTGTTGCTGCATTAAGCCTATCAACAACAACAAAATTTATTTTTTTTAGCATTTAAAATACATATCTAACAATCACTGCCTGCAAAATAGTAAAGCTAATTGAGGTGGCAGGGAAACAAGCATTAATATAAATTTCTAGTTGATAACAAGTTTGATTGACCAGAGGAAATGATTAGGAAATGACTATGTTTGGAAGGATTTTATCAAAAACAACAGAATAGACAACAGTGCAACTTTTACAACAAAAGGAACTCCACAGATAAAGGGCATGTCTAAAGTCATGTGCAATAATTCTTATATTACCCTACAATATCTGTGTCACCCAAAAGGCATGCTATGTTATGTTATTTACTTACTAACATAAAAGACAAGGATGAGGCAAACAGCACACAATAAGCGGTTTAAAAGATCATAGGGAACAAAATCCTTGATCTGTTTCTTTCCATATGTATGGTTGAATTTTCTGCAGAGTGAATTTAATTGTGTAAAGATTTTAAATCAATGATAGAATTGAACATGTATTGAGCAGTACCATAGTGCACGGTCACCCGGTATAAGGGGGTTGATTTCTAAACTCTCCCAACTTCTTTCCATTTGTATTATTAGTAGTTTTCACCTCTATTAAGTGGTCACCTCTATCAAAAAATGATAGTCACCCTCAACTGAGTCCCAACAGTCTGTGTTTATTGTATGCCCTCCACCAGTATGAAACATTCATGTAAAGTAATATTTAATCCAAGTTTATTTCCTGAATTCAAGGGTGGTAGTATTTTTTAGCAAGTTTGTGTACATTATGGCATAA